TATAAACACCTTAAAGGAAATTGTACAAGCTTTCTTTTAAGCAAAAAAAAGGGCCCAATTTGAACAAAATTTAAAAAAAATAATTAAACAATGAAACTAGTAAGAGTGCTATATTTGGCACTGCCGAATCTTAAATACCCTCCACCATAAACTGGTTTCATAAATTATCAAATTTTATGGATTGATTCAAATTCACCTTAATATTTTAGACTTACTTACTACAATTAAAAACAAAACTACCACTTAACAGACTGTTACAGAGCGTACTAAATTTAACCTATGTTCTGCATTTAAAATAATTTCTATGTGTGAGAGAAATGTATGGTAATAGTTATAGTTATAAAACTTATATAATTTTGTACGGGAGGTACAATAGATTTTCAACGTTGTTGATCCTATGAAAAAAAATTGCTTTTAAATTTTTATTTTTGAACCGAATTTCGACACTTAATTTGATTTTTAGAAAAAAATTAATTATTTATGACAAAGAAAGATAAATCGACCAGGAACCGAACCTGCAATGCTCAGTTTGTTAATTCTCTCTTCCATCCACTGCACCACTTCATTATTTTGTCCTTCGTTAACTAGTACTTTTCATATAAAAATGCCATGATATTTTCTGTTTATACAAAACATTGATGCTGAATATCAACATTGATGTTGCTGAATAGCATAAGAAATTAACAGTTACACTTTCTCAATGTGCACATTTTATTTGATGTTGGGTTAACAACAATTTTTTACACAAACAGGAAAGAGAATTTCTATGTGAACATTAGTTGCAAACGATTACGAAGCTAGTTAATAGTGTAGTGGGAATGGCGTAAAACTAGCAACTGGGAGATTTTAAGTTCGAATCCTGTTCGTTTTGGACAGTTTTTATTTCATTTTTTGCGAAAAATAATCAATTTATTAATCCCTATGGGTGGCATAAGAAATTGTGGACTGATTTCGATTTTGAACTCAGTGGATTCCCAAACTATATGTATGACAAAATTCAAAAATAAATATTTGTGCCAAATTTTTTATGGATATCATTATTTGGTAATTAGTAATATGCGTTTAAGTTATTCTCGAAAGGGGACCTTAAATGGGAGCTATGACTAATTATGGAACGACCGTAAAAAATTATAATAAGATTTCTGTAGATAAAAGCAATATTTGTATGGGACCTACGACCAATTACGGACCGATCGTAAACAAATTTTACCGTATCATTTCTGTATAAAAAAGCAATGTTTGTGCTAAATTTTGTATGGATATCTTTATTTAGTAATGAGAAATATGTGTTTAAGTGATTTTGAGAAGGAGACCTTGTATGGGAGCTATGACCAATTGTGGACCGATCGTGAAAAAATGTACAGTAAGATTTCTGTAGATAAAAACAATATTTGTGCCAAAGTTTGTATGAATATCGTTATTTGGCAATGAGTTATGTGCGTTTAAAAGTTTTTCGGAAGGTAACCTTATATGGGAGCTATGACCAATTATGGACCGATTCAGAAAATTGTTTCTTTATATGAATTCTATTGGCATTGAATTTAAATTTGTAAAATTTCGTAAAGATATCGGCATTATTTCGGAAGTTATTAACAATGAATTAATTTCGGGGAATATGTAAATTTGTGTGGGAGGTATATGTAATTGTGAACCGATTTTTAACAATGTTGATCCTTGCATCAAGAGTTATATCTCTAACAAAATTCAACAATTTATCTGCAGTAGTTTTTGTAAAAAATGCAAATAAATATGTAAAAAAGCAAAATTTTTTTTTGAGGTTGTCTCAAATTTTTACTCATAACTCTGAACCTATTTCACCAATCTTGCTGATTTTCAATACCAAACTGCTTAGGATATGAATATTTTGGGTGAATTCATCGTAGCAAAATGAGATGAAGCGCCACTGTCAACACACCATTGTACATTGTTGTTGTTGCTTTCTGTTTGTAAAGCTGCTAATGATGCAAAACAATTATTTTCTCTTCGCAGTTCTCTCCTGCAGTTCGCAGCGAAATGACCTCGACGCCCGCAATTACGACATTTCTTGTCATGCGCATAATTTCTGTTGTTGTTTTTATTACGATCATATTGTTGCCTCTTTTCAATTTTAGGCTTTTTAATATTCACATTTCCATTAGCTCTTGTAACATTTAAAACCTCTGCACTAGTGTTATTATTGGCGGTAACTTCTTGTTGCCATCACTTAAACGCATAAAACTCTTTACGAAATAAAGATATCCATAGAAAATTGGCACAAATATTGCTTTTATCTACAGAAATCTTATTATAATTTTTTTACGGTCGATCCATAATTGGTCATAGCTCCCATTTAAGGTCCCCTTTCGAGAATAACTTAAACGCATTACCAAATAATGACATCCATAAAAGATTTGGCACAAACATTTATTTTTTAATTTTGTCATACATATAGTTTGGGAATCCACTGAGTTGAAAATCGAAATCAGTCCACAATTTCTTGTACCACCCATAGGGATTAAAAAATTATTATTTTTCGCCAAAAATTAAATAAAAACTGTCCAAAACGAACAGGATTCGAACTTAAAATCTCCCAGTTGCTAGTTTTACGCCATTCCCACTACACTATCAACTAGCTTCGTAATTGTTTACATAGAAATTCTATTTCCTGTTTGTGTAAAAAATTGTTGTTAACCCAAGATCAAATAAAATGTGCACATTGAGAAAGTGTAACTGATAATTTCTTATGCTATTCTGCAACATCAGTGTTGATAAAAGTTATTCAGCAGCAATGTTTTGTACAAACAGAAAATAACATGGCATTTTGATGTTAAAAATATTAGTTAACGAAGGACAAAATAATGAAGTGGTGCTGTGGATGGAGGGGAGAATTAACAAACTGAGCATTGCAGGTTCGATTCCTGGTCGATTTATCTTTTTTTGACATAAATATTTAATTTTTTTTTTAATCAAATTAAGTGTCGAAATTCGGTTCAACAATAAAAATTTAAAGCAATTTTTTTTTCATAGGATCAACAACGTTGAAAATCTATTGTACCTCCCGTACAACATTATATAAGTTTTATAACTATTACCATACATTTCTCTCACACATAGAAATTATTTTAAATACAGAACATAGGTTAAATTTAGTATGCTCTGTAACTTTCTGTTAAGTGGTAGTTTTGTTTTTAATTCCATATTGTAAGGCGTAATGAAAGTAAGTCTAAAATATTAAGGTAAATTTGAATCAATCCATAAAATTTGATTATTTATGAAACCAGTTTAAGGTGGAGGGTATTTAAGATTCGGCAGAGCCGAATATAGCACTCTAACTTGTTTTTGAAGATAATTATGTCCAAGTAAAAGATCATGAAAATAATTCAATTTTGAAGGCCTTCAACAATAATGGTATATTCTTGTATGAAAGCTGGCGAAATAATGAGAAATGGTATTAGGTTTGAGATCTGATGAATGGATAGCGTCAATTTTGTTGAAAGGTTTACCAGCGGAATATAATACCATGATTATGAGCATGGAGAGGTCGGGTAAGATGTTAACTGCGAATTCAGCCTTAAAGAAGGATGTAAAGAACATCAAGTGCTATAATTGTAATAAATATGGTCACTATGCAATAAAATGTCTAAATAAAGGTTCTGAAAAGAAGAATCAGTCTTTGTTTGCTGCCTATGTCGTAAAAGGTTTAAGCCGAGATTAATGGTACTTCGATAGCGGTGCATCCGTACATATGTATGGAGCTAGTGAGATTTTGGAAATAGTTCACACGGATTTGTGCTGGCCTATGGAGGTCAAATCAAATGCTGGCAATTTATATATACTGACGTTTACTGATGACTTTAGTCGAAAAGTTTTCACATATTTTTTGAAAAATAAAAGTTTGGTGTTTGAAACATTTGTCAATTTCAAAACCTTCACCGAAAAGCAAACCGGAAAGAAGCTAAAATGTCTTCGTTCAGATAATGGCGGCGAATTTGTTAATCAAAATAAGTCGGATTTTCTTAAAAAGTGTGGAATTATGCATCAGAAAAGTGTGGCTTATAATCCGCAGCAAAATGGTCTTGCAGAGCGGATGAATAGATCATTAATTGAAAGAACCCGTTGTATGTTATATGAAGCCAAACTTCCGAAAAGTTTTTGGGCAGAAGCGGCATCCACAGCTAGTTATTCGATAAATCGTATTCCACATCGTATTCTTCAAAAATGTCCAGATGAAATATGGTATGGAAGAAAGCCAGGTGTTGGGCATTTTCCGAGTTTTCGGTTGTAATGCTATGATGCATATACCTCATCAGAAAGGAGAAAGCATGATGCAAAATCTAAGAAGATGATATTCATTGGTTATTGCAACGAATCGAAGGGATATCGCTTATTTGATCCAATTAATAAGTCCGTCACTATAAATCGTGATGTCATATTTTTTGAAGAAGAATTCATGTCGTTGAATAAAGAAAAGTCGATTGATGAATATTGGTTCTCAATTCCTCCTCCTGCTTTAGAGCAAAATAATGTTGATGAAACTCCTGATTTAGAACAAAATCACATTGAAGAAATTTCAGACGATAACATTGCCGATAACGATTCATTATTATTCTCTTCATTTACAGAGGATAACAATGAAGTGGGGGAAGTAATCGACAACGAAAATGCTTCAAATTCAAGTACACTAAATGCATCAGTTGAGTCTGAAATCGTAGTTGCAGTTCCTTGACGAAGTGATCGTTTAGCGGCAAAAGCTCAAAAAGTTCTTATAGCATCATGTGGTATTGTAGAAGATCCGTTAACGTACGAAGAAGCTTTGAATAGTCCAGATAGAGAAAAATTATTGAAAGCAATTGAGAGTGAAGTCAATTCATTGGAAACCAACAACACTTGGACAGAAGTCAGTAGTTCTAATTGCAAAAACGCAATAAAAACCAGGTGGGTTTTTAAGATTAAGTACGAGCCAGATGGATCTAAAAGATATAAAGCACGTTTGGTTGTAAAGGAGTACACTCAGAAGCCTGATGTATCTTACACAGTGTACAAGACCAGATATATGCCACGCAGTAAGTTATTTAAGTCGTTTGAACAATAATCCTAGCCAAGAACATTGGAATGCTGTGAAAAGAGTGTTTCGATATTTGAAAGAAACAAAACACTCTAAACTTTGCTACAGACAGGATGGTAATAATGAGCTAATAGCATATTCAGATGCTGATTGGGCCAATGACGTTGATGAGAGAAAATCAATTACTGGCTATGTTGTTATTCTCCAATCAGGTGCTATCTCATGGAGCAGCAAGAAACAACAGAGAGTAGCCTTGTCTTCAACCGAGGAGGAATATATGGCAATGTCTGCAGTAACCCAAGAGGTAGTCTGCTTAAGAGAACTTTTTTATGAACTCGTGCCAGACATTCCAAACAAACCAACTCATATTTTATGTGACAACAGAAGTGCAATAGCTTTGTCATCCAGTAATGTTTATCGAGCCCGTTCGAAACATATTGATGTGCATCATCATTTTTTGAGAGAGAAGAAGAATGCCAAACAAGTAGAATATTTCGCTATCAAGACTGATGAGATGATAGCAGATTCTTTGACCAAAGCTACAACTGCACCAAAACATAACTTTTGTTTTCAGAAACTGGGTTTAATTATTATAAAGTAAATTTGAGTGCGGGTGTTGTAAATACTTTAGCAAATTTTACTTTACGTTTATAAAAATAATTAATCTAGTTTTACTATGTTTTTATGTTTTAATATTTTCTGTGAAAATAAAATATTTTTTCTCTTCGTATTGAGATACCAAATAGAAATATTGCCTTTCACTTTTCAATATGAAGTATGTACAAAATCTAAAATCACTGCAAAACCTTTTGAAAGCTCCCAATCTAGAGCAAAATCATTACTAGAAATAGTTCACAGTGATATTTGTAGGCCCATCAACATGCCATCTATTGCCGGTTCTAGGTATTTTGCCACGATGATAATTCTCGTTATATCGTAGTATACTTCCTAAAAACAAAAGATCAAATATTAAATGCTTTCAAAGATTATAAGTCCTTAGTAGAAGAACAAACAGGTTAACAAATAAAATGTTTATGAACCGATAATGGGCGCGAATATATCAGCAATGATTTTAACACCTATTTACAAGAAAATGGCATTAGAAGGCAGCTCACTGTACCATATACCCCCCAACAAAATGGTGTTGCCGAAAGGGCTAATAGAACGTTGGTTGATATGTCCTGTAGTATGCTTCTAGAAGCCAATCTTGCAGAGAGGTTTTGGGCCGAGGCGGTCTTAACCGCTGTGTACTTACGCAATAGAACAGTAACAAAAGTTTTAGTTGATAAAACCCAATTGAAGTTTGGTATGGCTACAAGCACTCAGTGGTCCATTTCAAAGTGTTTGGTACAAAAGTTATAACTCTGAACAAAACTCATCATAAAAAATTTTGCCCCAAAGGTACTGAGATGATTATGATTTCATACAGCGAACAATCACAAGCATATAGGCTTTACGATCCCAGTTCAAGAAAAGTAAAAGTTAGTCGTGATGTTATTTTCGTAGATGGCAAATATTGTGAAATGGATGATCAAGCTGATGTGTCAAACACAGAACATTTTGGTTATTTTTTAAATATTTGTAACCCAGCTCATGAGGCTACAGAACAACCACAGCAACAAATTGCCAATAAGTCATCATCTGGCGAAGGTAGTCAATTTGTGACTCAAGGTGAAACCGATGCCCTTGAACCCAGTAGTACAAGCCCTTCAGCCAAAACAGGACTGGCAGGTCGCCCAAGAAAGGTATTTAACACAATAAACTCCATGTCAGTGCCTGAAAATGTTAGCAGTGGGATACGGCGATGAAAAATGAGTATGCCTCTTTAATAAAAAACGACACTTGGGAATTGACAGATCTGCCTAAAGGACAGAAACCTGTGGGGTGTAAATGGGTCTTTACCGTAAAAGAAGATAAAAATGGCAATATAAAAAGGTTCAAAGCTAGGTTAGTAGCAAAGGGGTGCAGCCAAAAATATGGCGTAAATTATAAAGAAAAATTTTCACCAGTGGTTACATATGCCAACATACGATTACTAGTAGCACTGGCTGTATAACACCAACTGTATATGCACTAATTGGATGTATCATCCGCGTACTTAAATGGAGAGCTCGATGATGAGGTGTACATGGTACAACCCGAAGCTTTTATAGATAAACATTGCCCAAATCGTGTCCTCAAACTTAAAAAATCATTGTGCGGACTGAAACAATGCGGACGTGCTTGGAATGCAAAATTAGATCATATTTTAAAATATATGGGTTTTACAGCTTGTATTAGTGAACAGTGTATGTACACTAAAAATATGAATGGTGTTGTGAATATCATCGCTGTGTATGTAGATGACCTCATAATTGCAAGCACATTGAAGGAAGATCTAGAATGTATTAAAAAACAAGTTCGAGGTAGTAGACGGTGGCCAACTCAACCACTTACTAGGTATTGAATTCTATCGTCGAGATGAAAACGGTGTTGTAGAAATGTGCTAGAAACAATACATAAAAAGTTTATTGAATGACTATGGAATGAGTAATTCTAAAGAAGTAGTTACACCACTAGAGGCAGGTTTTCAATCGTCGTATAAATCAACTAATTGTACAAAGATTGAACCGGCTGAGTACCAGTCTATAATAGGTGCTTTAATGTATCTTGCCATCTCCACGCGCCCCGACATCTTGTACTCAGTGTGTAAACTTGCACAGCGTAACACCGATCCACACGCAGAACATTTCGTCGTTCCGGAATTATCTTTACGTATATCACAAATTCCAAAAAAATGAGTTAGGGTAATTTTTTAGGGTAAAATTTGAAGATCTATCGATCTAATCAATCTACAGGTTTCTATCTCTTGGTTTACGAGATATTCACTAGCTATTTTATTGTATATCCACTTTTCTTGATTTTTGTGGATATACAACAAAAAATGTATGAAATTATTGAAATAAAAAAAGTTTACGCATGCGTAAAAGATAAAAATATTGAAAATAGTCTACATATAACACCGTCCGACACTCAAAATTAGACACGAACCAGATGATATAAGTCTGAAACTAGAGATTAAATGATGCTAAACTGCTTTCACAGTTTTTTATTTCGTGATCCTGTTTCCTTGTAAAAGGAAAAAAATTATAAATACTTCTGCTTACCCTACTTTGCAAAATTTGATGTCAAAATAACAAGAACAGTTGGGAAATATTTTGTGCTATTTTTGTTTTATTCTGTCAAAAATGCCTTCAAAATTTTTTCTGAAAAAATAATACTGAAAACCTAAATAGATATTAGAGGATACAAATTTTAAAATACATTTTGACATCTTCTTATCCTGACAGTATAAAATAAAAATAATACAAAATATTTCCCAACTCTTCTTGTTCTTTTGACAAAAAAAGTGGCATTATTTGAGCAGTAGAAGAATTTTTATTATTATTAATTTTTTTTTTTTTTTTTTTTTGAAAAATTTACTTCTTTAAAACTTTGAAGTCCTTTAAAAAGGACACTGGATTCTATTAAAATTTTTTAAACAATAGCAATTACAAAATGCGAATACAGATTTCGTATATAAACCCAGCAAAAATCTGGAAATGACTTGTACTTACTAAACAACATTCTTTTCAATGACAGCTACTTACCGTTTGCATTACTTAGAAGAAAATTAAATTTGTTTGTAAAAACCATTATTTTGACGCGCAATAAAATAGTTAAGCAGTGGTGCAGTGAGTAGAATATTTGACTAACAAACAGAAGTCATTGGTTCTTATACTCGCTGGCTCTTTTTATTATTAAAAACAAAACATCTCCCTCAACAAGTACTTCTTTAACTCCCTATTTGTAACCGATGCGGTAAGTACTTGTCTCCAATGACACCACCGTGTTAATACATTGAGTTAAAATGCTAATGAAAAGAGGTTTTATTAGCTTTTTAACTCATTACTTTTCAATGTAAGTTTTCTTGGGAAGTTAGCTAAACATCTGCGTTTGAGAGAGAATGAACTTAAAAATGATGCATATTGTATTAAAATAAATAAAAATAAACATAAACAAAAATTGCACGAATATACGTGAAGATAATTTGAGAGAAAAAACATAATGCAGTTTTTATCAGTACATTTTCACGTATATGCCATAAATTAAACAAGTTAGAGTGCTATATTCGGCTGAGCCGAATCTTAAATACCCTCCACCAGCTACTTTTATATTAATACTTTTCTAATTGATCAAATATTTGTAGAAATAAGTTTTCTCATATCTTAAATAGAAAAATCCCTAGATTCATACAGCTCAAATTTATTACAATTCCAAGATTTATTGAACATTACCAACGCTTGGCGATTTTTATTAATTTGCATGTATGCATGTGTGTGAAAGATTTAAGGATTTTCAAAATACATATATATATTTTTTTTCTACACAAATTGATAATGCAACTAGTTAAATACGGTTTTAGGGGCAGGACCTAGTATGGGAGATATGACCAATTATAGACCGATCGTAAAAAATTCTTTAAGCAAAACTTCTGGACATGAAAGCTATATTTCAGTAAAATTTTGTATCTATATCGTAATTTAGTAATAAGTAATGTGTGTTATGGACGGATCGTGCAAAAATCTTGAAATAGAATTTTTGTATCAATAGCTTTATTTGGTAATGAGTAATGTGCATTTAAGAGATTTTCGAAAGAGGACCTTGTATGGGAGCTATGACCAATTATGGATCGATCGGAAAAAAATTTCACAGTAATATTTCTGTATGTGAGAGCAATACTTGTACCGAACTATATATGGATATTTTAATTTAGTAATGAGTGACGTGCGTTTAAGTGATTTTCGGGAGGGGACCTTGTATGGAAGCTATGACCAATTATGGACCGATAGGAAAAAAAATTCTACAGTAATATTTCTGTATATGTGAGCAATACCTGTACCAAATTTTATGTGGATATCTTAATTTAGTAATGAGTTATGTGCGTTTAAGTGATTTTCGGGAGGGGACCGTGTATGGGAGCTATGACCAATTATGGACCGATCAGAAAAGAAATTCTCAGTAAAATTTCTGTATGTGAGAGTAATACATGTACCAAATTTTATATGGGTATCTTAATTTTGTAATGAGTTATGCGCGTTTAAGTGATTTTAGGGATGGGACCTTGTATGGGAGCTATGACCAATAATGGACCGATCGGAAAAAAATTTCACAATAATATTTCTGTGCAGATGAGTAATACTTGTACCAAATTTTATATGGATGTCTTATGTAAGTAATGAGTTATGCGCGTTTAATTGATTTTCGGGAGGAGACCTTGTATGGGAGCTATGACCAATTATGGACCGATGGAAAAAAAATTTCACAGTAATACTTCTGTATATGAGGGCAATACTTATACCAAATTTTATATAGATAACTTGATTTAGAAATGAATTATTTGCGTTTAAGTTATTTTCGGGAGGGGACCTTGTATGGGAGCTATGTCCAATTATGGACCGATCAAGAAAATTTTTTCTCTGAATGAATTCTATTGATATAATATTTTTATTTGTAAAATTTTGTAAAGAATTCGACATTGTGACGGAAGTTATTAACAAAAAACCCATTTTCCGGGAATAT